AAAAAAAAAAAAAAAAAAAAAAAAAAAAAAAAAAAAAAAAAAAGTAATAGGGAGGCTGGAGAGAGGGCTTATCAGTTAAGAGACACTGTTGTTCTTGCAGAGAACCTTGGTTCAATTCCTAGCACCTACACAGTAGTTCACAACCATCTTTAACTCCAGTTACAGGGATCTAATGTCCTTTTCCGCCTTCTTCGGGTACCAAGCACCATGTGGTGCACATATATACATGCATAAAAAATTAATAAATCTTTAAAAAACTTAAAAATGATAATTCTAAAAATACATTTACTACATCAGGTAAGATAAGCACTATTAAATCTACATACATGGCAAAGCTAAAATAGTGACCTGTGTATGTTCTGGGATCACACATCTACAGAAAATAATGCATTAACAAATACAAACATCATAATTCCAATCATGCCAGTAATTCATAAGCTCATTCTGCCATTCTTTGAGACAGCAAAGTAATTAAGGTCTCATTACCTCAGAGGTCTCTGAGGTCATAAGTTCTGTTTCAGTTTCCGAAGAAGCCTGATCAGTAGTAACCAAGCAAGCATTTGAGCTACAAGTAACTGAGGATGTCACCTAGACACAGAAAGACAGAAAGCATTGTCAACACATTCTGTGTTCACTTCAAATTTCCTGGGTGCTGGACTCCCTGATATGTCACTTTTACTAGCACTCAGTGGTACCAGGCAGTATGTTAAGTGCATTACATTTATTAATTCACTTAATTCTAGCAAATCCGTGTAGTAAGCACTATTATCCTTATTTTAGTGGCATCAAGAAGCAAATAGTTGGGCAGTGGTGATGCATGCCTATAATCCCAGCACTCAGGAGGCAGCAGACTGATCTCTGAATCTTAGTTAGAGGCCAGCCTGGTCTACAGAATGAGTTCCAGGTCAGCCAGAGCTACACAAAGAAACCCTATTTTGAAAACAACAACAACCAAAAGAAAGGCAACAAAGAAAAGTAAACTAATCTGCCCAAAATTAGAATAAAGTTCAATAGCAGAACACTTAGATTTACACACTGCCTTTCCAGGACTGTGTCCCAGTTACACTACAGCCTTGCTGACCATGAAAATCTGGTGTCAGATCTGCAATGTGGCTGACACTTCACAGTGCATGCTGACAAGCTAGGTACAGGGCTAATCATGCTTCCAGTCTAAAGACTTTTCATGCCCTACAGAGGCAGGCAGAAGTATAAAAAACGATGGACAAGCTCCACGAAGATCAAAGCAGTATCAAAGTTCTAGGAAAATTATGAGTTAGAAGCAGGTATAAAATAAAAACTAGAAGCCAGGCAGTGGTGGCGCACGCCTTCAATCCCAACTCGGGAGCTAGAGGCAGGTAGCTCTCTGTGAGTTCAAGACTAGCCTGGTCTACAAGAGCTAGTTCCAGGATAGCCACAGAGAAACCCTGTCTCAAAAAACCCAATAAATAAATAATAAAAACTAGAAACAAGCACAAAAGGAATGAAGGCCGTGACAACTTAACAATAAAACACCAAGAGCAGTTTGGTAGGAAACCTATGATACAAAAAGGTATTAGAATCCAAGAGAAGCCTACGAAAAACAATCTAGCAGGAGTGGTAGCTAAGTGCTTGCGCATCCAATGCTGCATCCCAATACTTCCTCGTGGTTCTTAGAAGCTCCAGTAACATCATAGGTGCATAACATCACAGGTGCATCACAGAAATCAATGCATGTTAACTGAACATCAGAGTAGTTATGTTTCTATAACCTGCTCCAAGCACTAGGTGGTAGAGTCAGGAGGATCAAGAGTTCAAGGTCATCCTCTTCAACTACATAGTGAACTCCAAGTCCACCTGAATACTGTTGCATAAGACTTTGTTTCAAAAAAAAACAAAAAAAAAAAACAGACACAGGTATGTGCACATGCATACAGACAGACAGACAGACAGACAGACACACACACACACACACACACACACACACACACTTTCACTTTCACATCAGAAAGAGAAAGAGTTTGATAGGCCAACCAGGGCTACACAGACAGATCCTGTCTTCCACCACCACCTCCAAAGAGAGTTTAGGGAAAATTTTTTGTAATACTTTAGAACATTTTATATACTAAACACACATTATTTAGATCTAACAAAAATATTAGGTTTATGAGCTTGTTCTGAAACTATGCTTTTTTCAGTACTTTGAATTAAAATAATAAGTCAACCCATCATAAATGAGACTGGCTTCTGTTGAGCTATACTTATGTACAAGGGGGAAAAAAACCCAGATACTAAACTAATCTTCCTTTGTCCATTCAATAGTTAAACTAAACATACGTTGAAACCCAGTACCATGGAATGCACCTATTACCCAGGGTTAGAAGAATGAAACAGGAAGATCACAAGACCACACTAGACTACAAAGCAAACCCTGGCTCAAAATAACAAACAAAATGTCAAATTTTATTTAAAGCTTCATTTGATGGGGTTGCAGATGTAGCTCAGTGGCAGAGCATTTGCCTAGCTAGATTCATTCAATGTCTAGCACCACACTGGGCAAATGAAGTTTTACTTAACAACAAAATCTTTACTATTAGTATTCATTTATAAGGTGCAATCACTCTTGCCTCTAAATTATCACTTTGAGTAGCCAGAAGTAACTTTACATACTGGTGAGTAAACATGGTGTTTGAGACTAGGGGTTCTAAGTGTAGGTATGCAGACTCACATAGAGAGGTTATTAAAAGCATAAATGCTACAAGAATGCTAGCACAGGACAACATTCCAGCACTCCTAAGGCAAGAGGATCACAAGTTCTAAACCAGTATATGCTACAGAGTGAGTTCAAGGCCAGCCTGGGCTATATTAAGAGACTTTGTCTCCAATAATAGTAGCACGCACGCACGCACGAAAAAACTTTATGATTATTCTTGACAAAGTAAGAAGTCTTCCCCCTTGAAGCAAAGAAGAGTATAAGACAAATTAATCTAGAAGTTACTTGTAATGGCTCTTGAAGAAAATCATTTTGATTGGGCAAGTTTTGTTCTGCAGATACTGTAGAAACTAAAATAAATCAAACAATTAAGGGGAGTAATGCATGTCAACTTGACAAGACAAAGTTTACTCTTCACAAAGTATCAGCTGGAAGAACAGGTTCCTACTGCAACCTTGAAGAGAGTAGATTGGATACTAGTTAGAAACACTAATTCCATCTGTGGTATATGGTAACGCAGTTTTTTGTTCTTGTTTTTGTCTTTAACATTTTTATTATTATTTATTTACACACACATGTGTGTATGTCTGTATATGGACATGTACCTGATGTTAGGACCATCCCCTGGAGCTGGAGTTACTAGCAGTTGTAAGCTGCCTGATGTGGGTGCTGGGAATTGAACTCTGGTCTTCTGCAAGGACAATACATGTTCTTAACCACTGAGCCACCTCTTCAGCCCCCATGCTGATGTTTTAAGGTTATATGGGCAAAAGCATTAAAGCTTCCAAAATAAAAGAACTATGACTTTAAAAAAATTACTGGGGATAATAATCTGGAAGACAAAGACTAAGCCATATGAGTTGTCACTAACTGATACACATAATCTTAATAGTAAGTCTTAGCTGGTCATCTGTTTGTTTAGATTTTTTCCCCTGTGGTTACACATAATAATATACTTTCTACAATTACATAGCTTTTAGTTTGGTTTCTCTCATTAACCAGTCACTACTCGTTTGCTTCGCCCAGCACTACAGCATAAGTCTTTAGCAGGTGTTCAATGCTTATCACGGTTGGACTATAGCTTGATCATGTCATTCCTTACCTGAGAGAAATTAGCAGGGAGCCAGAGGCCTCAGCTTTGAGGCATCACACCAGTTTTAGATTAAGGTTCCATCATCAGTTACCATGGTATTCACTGTTCTAAATATCAGTACTCAAAAGCCTCCACACTAGATTTACAGTTCAAAGGTCAAGCAGGTTCTAGTCAGAAATCACTCCAGAAAGAACATGGAAAATTGATAAAGCAGCTATTAAGCATTTCTACTTGCCCATCTGAGGATTTTTCTCTAACAAATATAAACATGTTACCAAAGTATACTTATGTCCTAATGATAATTTGTCCCTATGCAACTCTACTGACTGATGGATATAATTAGAATAAATTAATAAACACTTAAGCTATATGGAGTGAATGATTCGTAAAAGAAATAGTTGTTAACTATAAAGCTGTGTGTTTTAAGTCTTTAGAATTATTATTCTCCTACTGGGTTACCTGGAGAAGCTGAAGGCGACTGTGACGATGGAATTGCACTTGAGGGTTTGTCAAAATCTAGAACAGATTCCTAAAGATAAGATTTTAAATAGTGAGAAGAAACACAGATGATTCATTTAAAGTGATTAAGTAGCTAACTGTATTGATCACAACTTTTACTAAAGGTGCAGACATCTAGCTAATTCCTACCTTGTGGTTTTGGTTTTTTGTTTGTTTTGGTTTTTTGAGACAGGGTTTCTCTGTGTAACAGCCCTAGCTGTCCTGGAACTCTCTCTGTAGACCATGTTGGACTCAAACTCACAGAGATCCACCTGCATCTGCCTCCAGAGTTTGGGGATTAGAAGTATGTGCCACCATTTCCTGGCTCTTCCTTGTGATGTTAACAAATTATTCTTAAACAAGAAATTAAAGAGTCAAAACTAAACCCCAAGGTTACTGTCAAACCTCAACATTGGGTCAAGTATTAAACTAGAACATGATTCTAAAGCCCAACTTAGACATGCACTCCTGATATGAGTCTTAAGCATAAAATGTTGGCCTTAGTCTGTTTGAAATTGGATTTTATTATACCTAACTAATGAGAAGGCCTATTTATTTTTATCTCAATCACCTACTGGTTCATACTGATAAACATTCTCTTCTCATATCTGTGTATCAGGGTTCTCTCAAGAAAACCTCCCAGAGCTAGAAAATTTGTGGGAAGCATCCTAGCTCTTTCATTTATCTTCAAATTATCTCTCACTTTGCAGACTAGGGCTGGAAATTAAAGAAACTGACTGGAGTTATGAGGCAAGAAATAGGATTGGTGTTTACACCCAGGTGTTTAAATCCAAAGCTCAAAGATCCTTTATTTACATTTACTTTGTTTACTTGAGTAGTCAGGCCTCAATAATATACTGCTGCTCTGATATTCTCTAAGAGTCTATGTCACACTATTTAATTAAACATAGTCTTTCATGATGGATTGGTGGCATAGGCCTTTAATCCCAGCACCTGGGAGGCAGAAGCAAGCTGATCTCTATGAATTCAATGCCAGTCTGATCTACACTGTGAGTACCAGGCTAGCAAGACTACACAGTCAGACCCTATTTTAAAGTGAAAAAAGTCTTTTACACAATTTATCATTTAACTATTGATTTAACACAAGTTTCCAATCTTCTACAGCTTTGAAGGCAGATGATGAGTGTCTCATAATTTTTTAGTGGGACCTGAAAGACCAAGTAGCAAACAGACTGTCAGTCTTAGGGTAATTACCAATGGCCCACAGCAGCCCTGACTCCTAAATACATTATGCTTTTTTTGTTTTGTTTTTGAGACTTCTCTGTGTAACAGCTCTGGCTGTCCTGGAACTCAGTCTGCAGATCAGACTGGCCTCAAACTCACTGAGATCCACCTATCAAGTGCTGAGATTACAGGTGTGTACCACCACTGCCCAGCTTAGTACTATTTTAAACCTTGGTCAGAGAGAAGCCTTTTGCCATGGGCATAAGTCAGTGCAGAGACTCATAACTGGCCAAAGTGTTTAGAATGACTGTTAAATGCTCACTCAGCTCTAAGTGGGACACACGCATCAACTCCTTCAAAGCTCAAGGATTATCCCACAGGCAAGCACAGAAGATTGGGAGGAGTACCGTGAAACACTCTTCTGGACATGCCAAAGCTCTTGTGTTCCTGAACTCATGGAAGCTATGGCGACCTACAGAAATCCAAGCTAGTCAATATCCCAGGGAGGATGAGATAAGGGATTTATGAGGCTTACATCTAGCTGAAGAGCTAACAACAATTGATAGCTGCTGGAGGTGATGGGAGCTCATCATTTTTCTTGTGGCTGCTAGATTGCTTTTTCTCTGATAAATGGGTAAATGGTCCCACACTCATACACATACTGGCAGCACTAACGAAATGCTGTGGTTTGTTTCATATTCTCATATTCATGAGAATATGAAGGTGGAACTGGGAAGTATTGGGGGCTATAAAAGACAATGGGAAGGGGGAATTTGAACTGGACATGATCAAGATACACTATACATGTAAGAAGTTGTCAAAGAATAAAAAATATCCTAAGATCAAAATAAAACAAAACAGCTCATACTTGCATAAAGTTACAAGTTCCTTGAATCTGGGTCATGAGGTCCTGCAGTTTTTCTTTCCTCAATAGAGGATCCTTTGGAAAGGGGGAGGAAGAGTCCATAGGCTGAAGCATGGATACACACACCTACAAGACAAACCCGCCATGTGTAAGTGAGTCTCAGTCACACAGCTTACATTACGATTACATCCTCAGAAATCAATGGAAATACTATTTTTTAGACTTATCACAGTAAGATTTTTACATAAATCCATTTTCCAATTAATTGGCTTTCCCCTTTCAAAACAACTTTAAAGAAAATCTTTTAAAAATATGAAGCATTTCTTTCTAAAAGGACCCAGAATTAAGAACCATTCTTTAAAAGTGATTCATTGCCAGGCAGTGGTGGCCCATGCCTTTAATTCCAGGCACTTGGGAGTCAGAGGCAGAAGGATCTCGAGTTGGAAGCAAGCTTGGTCTACAGAGTGAGTGCCAGGACAGCCAGGACTATTTCACAGAGAAACCCTGTCTCGAAAAACTGGAAAAAATAATAACAATAAAAATAAAAGTGTTCCATTATACAGTTACTACTATTTGTTCTCTGTGACAAGAAGCCACTGACTATGACACATAGCAGTGTTTCTATTCAAGGCAAAAATTACTATCACTACATTAAATATGCATCCCATTTTAAAGATACATGTGATTTCAGAGTCATTAAAATATTTATAAATAATATATATCCATATGCAATATACACACAATTATATTTAATTTAAAAGTATACTCTTGGAAGCTGCTGCTGTTTAGAAGCTCTCATGATAAATTAATTGGTAGACATCTTGAATTTGCTCTAACATTTACAGTTCTTGCTTCTTTTCTTCTTCTTTTTAATCTTTATGTGTATGGTTGTTTTATCTCTGTTCGAGTGCGTGCCTGCGTGAATACCATGTATGTGCTTGGTACCTGCAGAGCTAGAAGGATTCAGATAGGCAGAACTGGAATTACAGGTGTTATAATTGCCATAAGGGAGCTAGGAATCAAACCACAGTCTCCTCTGAAAAGAACAGCCAGTGAGTGCTCTTAACCACTGAACCATCTCTCCTGCCTTAAGCCATATTTTTATAGCTGAGATCAGCTATTCATAGAGATGTAAGTGCCCTCTTACTTACTGAAAGAGCCTAAAACTTCAACATAATGGTGCCCATAAAAGCAAATTCAATGTTTGGACCTTTGTAACTAAACATCCCTGTTTTTCAATATCATTCAACAAATAGCATAAGATCAATATTCTAGTATGGTAAAGGTTCAAATACCTAGTGATTCGGACCCTACGGGGAATTTGTGGGTTTTTTTGGTTTTCTGTTTGTTTGTTTTAAGACAGGCTCTCTATGTAGCACTAACTGGCATGGAACTTACTATGTGTAGATCAGGTTGGCCTCAAATTCTCAAATTAAAGTTCTGTTGTCTCTTACTGCTTTATTGGGATATTAAAATGGGGTTTAATATGCATATCAAAAACAGCAACCATACAATTACTACTAGATGTTGTAAATTAATGAAGTGCAGCTGTCAATCTTCTACAAGGGCAGGAATAAGATAAAAATATCAGCACTTGAAGAGAAAAGAAGAGAAAAAAAAAATATTAGCTCGTGAAGAGAGAAAAACAAGGAAAAGAAAAAGGAAAAAGCCAGGCCCGTGCCTCCAATGCCAGCACTTAGGAGGCAGAAGCAGGTGGACTTCTAAAAGTTTTAAAGCCAGACTAGTCTACATAATGAGTTCCAAGCCCACCAGAGCTGCATAATAAGATCTTGTCTCAAAAATAATTCAGGTGTGGTGGTGCACACCTTTGATCCCAGTGCTCTGGAGGCAGGTGGATCTCTGTAAGTTCCAGGCCAGCCAGGTCTACAAAGCAAGTTCCAGAACAGCCAAGGCTGTTACACAGAGAAACCCTGTTGCAAGAAAGAAAAGAAAAAAAAAAAAGATGAATAACTCTAAAATTCTCTTTCTGGAAGGCAGCATTGAGAGGTAGTTTGTTTATTTATAAAATGCAATGTTTTGACCTCTCCAAAGATTTGATCAGAAAGCTCCTGGCTAAAAAAGCAGGTGGTTAAAGGACAACTACTTAGTTGGGGTGGAGAGCCTTGGAAGTTAACTCGTTAGCAAACAAAGTGGTGACATGTTTGCTTTCATAAGCAATATGAAGTAATTTATAATTTAAGAACAAGCAATACTAGCCGAGATTATCCAAGGATCATTCCTTACAAACCTCACATCCTGAGAGAAAGATTTATTTATCAGCAACAGGATGAGGCAGACTTAGAAATCTACTCACATCTTTGGAATCTACATTTAACTTCCTGGGCAGGAGCTGGTCATTTGGTAACAGGCCTGCTGAAGCTGCTCCCCAGGACTTTAAAAAAAATCTGTGACGTGGTGCTAAGGAGTGTTTCTGGTTCTCAGCATTGTTTTCCCAGGACACTGGAGTCCCAGGCTTCATTGAATCCTGTTCTCTGCACATAGGAGTGGTCCAGGAGCTCCTGTCCCTCTGTTCACCTTGCACAGAGACTGTCCAGGATCCAGGAGGTAGCTTCTGTGGATCTTGTTCTTTCTGTGGCTTAACTACCCATGGCTTTGGTGTCTCCTGTATGCTCAGCTCTTCTTGAGGGCTGCCCACTTTGGACTTAGGGGTTTGTGGCTTCCATTGGCTGACAGGTGTCATAGAACTCTGCTGCCTCTGCTTTTCCTACAATGTTGACCTAGGATTCCCCTGATCTAAGGAAACCACAGGCTTTGGTACCTCCTGGGACCTGACAGAAGACTCCCAAGACTTGGAGGACTTCTGCTTCTTCTGTTGACCATCTGGTTCAGGAAGCATATTCCAGCATTTGAGGAGATTTGGTTTTCTCACATAATCTGCTTCCCAAGATCGTTCCTCACTTTCTTGTTTTCTTGAATAATTTACTTCTGTCATATAGCGTCTGTTAAGAAACTAAGCCAGAGAAATAAACAATGTGCTTCAAGCTTAAAATGCATAGACTTTCAATGGAATGTTCAACTCTATTAGTATTCCTATTTCTGTCAATCTCACAAGAAACTACCTGACATGAAAGCCTCCCCACCAAGACAGAGTTTCTCTGTGTAGCTTCGAAGCCTATCCTGGCACTGGATCTGTAGACCAGGCTGGCCTTGAACTCACAGAAATCCACCTGCCTTTGCCTCCCAAGTGCTGGGATTAAAGGCGTGCACCACCAACACCCAGCTCTGAATGAAACTCTTATCCTTATCCTATTTGAAGAAACTGGATGACTTCTGTATCTACTCTTTCTCCTCAATTAACAGAAATGTAAACTTTGACACTTCAAAGGTAGAAATCTGTGACCCATATAAGATTAGAAGAAACTACATATTATGGCACTACAATCACTTTAAATAGTCCCTTTGCCAAAGCAATTTTGTCTTTGCCAGACTGAGGGTCTTTCCACACACCTGTCACCCTCCTTTAAAAGTCACTGCTAGGATAGTTCAATTACAGAAAGTTATATTGTTTAGCTGTATGTCTCCTCGGTTCCCAGGTTTTTCTCAATTTCCTCCACATATCTATTGTATTGTGCATCTGTTTCTCCGATTCTTTTCAGCTTCCACAAATTTCAATGTCACTTAAAAAGAGTAAACACTCTCTTCTGCTACCATTGTAAACCTGGTAACAAAATTCTATACATCCTTAAAGTCAAACATAAGGGTTTAAAACAGCAATAAGTAATTCTAAAGAAGTTACTATGCATCAGACTAGCCCATTTGGCCCTCAGTCACACCAGATATGATCCCAGGCTTCACTACCTAGATGAGAACAACAATCCAGCCAGACACTAAACCAATAAGTTGCAAGGCAGCATTCAAGTTCAGTTTGTCTGCCCAAGCCTCAGACTCTAATCCACAGTAACAAATGAAAACTTAAAACAACTTCAGCAAAGGACCTGATTGATCACATTCTCACCTCCTGTGGTTGTATCTCAGGCTGCACGAGTTCCACAGGAGATTCTGAGAAGATAAAAGAATTATAAATAAGTACAAATTCTAGGTTTTTAGTCTGGCTATAGCCATAATTCATTCCAGTAAAGAATGTCAAAGGGCTCAGAATAATTAATGCAATTAAATATATTCATAGCAGGACTACTCCAGCTATTGTTTATTGGTCAGGAGCACGTGGAAGGCCTAGGGTTTGTAGCTCAGTGGTAGAACGCACTTGCACAGCATGCACAGGGCCTGAGGTTTGATCCCCAGCACAAAAAGGAAAGGACAAAAAGAGAATGGGTCCTAAGGAAAATTGTCATTGAAGCTGGTATTTCATGAGATATTTACTGAAGTTTCTTTTTGGTTTATTTGAGGCAGGGTTTCTCTGTATAACCCTGGCTGTCCAGGAAATTACTTTGTAGTCCAGGCTGGCCTCAAACTCTCAAGAGATCTGCCTGCCCCTGCCTCCTGAGTGCTAGAATTAAAGGTGTGTACCAACACAACCTGGTTTTAAGATTTTATTCCTAAGTAAAATACCTACAAATAGCCTTATTAAAACTGCAATTACAGTTAAAGTTTACAAGGACAAATCAGTAAACTCAACTTGAAACAGAGCCTCTGCCAAACCATACTATGGTCAGGAGAGGTAAGAGAGGGAGACACAGAAGCACTGAACTTAGTATTAAGGTGAAGTAAGACCAGGGATGTAGCTTAGCTGGTTGTCTTTGCCTAGCATAGTTCCTAGATACGATTCTGAATACAACATAAACTAGTCAGAGGAGTACAAACTTTTAATCTTAGAACTGGAGAGGTAGAGGCATGAGGATCAAAGGTTCAAGGTCATCCTAAATTACATAGTAAATTTAAGGCCAGCGTGGGCTACATGAGACCCTGACAAATAAAAACATTTTTTTAATTTTAAAAAGGGAAAGAAGGAAATAAATGGCTAATCAAAAATATATTTCATTTTCTTCTTGTTTTTTTATTTTATTTTATTAGTTCAAATTAGGAACAAGCTTGCTTCAGGTGCCAATCCCTTCTCCCTCTCCCTCCCCTTCCCCCTTGTTTGTTTGTTTTGAGACACAGTTTCTCTGTATAGCCCTGGCTGTCCTGAAATTTGTTTTGTGGACCAGGGTGGCCTCGATCTCAGAGATGAGCCTGCATCTGCCTACAAAGTGCTTGGATTAAAGTCCCTCAACACCAGCCCAGCTCTACTACTGAGCTAAATCCCCAATCCCTCATTTTCTATTTTTTTTTTCTTTTCCCTTACATCAATAACTGATCCCAAACTCACATTTTTCTACAAAATACTGTTTTCCACTATGGCTTAAATTTAAGCTATACTATAAATGGAATTATCCTATTATAGTTTAGCAAAGAGGTTTATTCAGGTTTCACAAATGCCTAGTTTTAACCAAATATTTTCTCTCAAAACAAAATGTAAACTAATGTTTCTATTAAGGTTCAATCTTGAACTCAGTTTAGTGGCACAAGCCTTTAATCTCAGCACTTGGAAGACATAGAACAAGAACCCAGGCCAGCCCTTACTACAGAAAATCTTGTCTCAACCAAACAAAAAGAAGCTAAACTGGGGCTGGAGACATGGCTCAGAGGTTAAGAATACTGGCTGTTCTTCCAGGGGTCCTGAATTCAATTCCCAGCAACCACATGGTGCCCTCTTCTGGTGTGCAGATATACATGGAAGCAGAATGCTGTATACATAATAAAATCTTTTTAAAAAAAAAAAAAAAAGCTAAACTGTAAGTCACAACACTGTTTTCTCTCTTTTTTAACATTTTTTTTTTAATTTTTGTGTATACTTGTGTCTAAGGGTGGGTCTATACACAAAATGCAATTCCCAAAGAGGCCAAAAAAGTTGTAAGCTCTCCAATTGGGCTGCTGGTAATCAAACTTGAATCTTCTGTAGGAGCAGTACATACTCAACCACTGAGCAATCCCTCCAATCCCTAGTAATCTGTTTTCTAAACCTAGGCTTAAATTACAACAAATAAAAATCTCCATTCATATAGAATCCAACAAACTAAATCATTTCAAAATGATGGTTCTAAAATGCATTAAGAACGCAACCTCTATAATGGAATACATGTCATGAAAGGATAAGGGCACTACCATCAGAGAATGCAAGTGATGGGGAAATCCTTCTGTATATATGTTTCTCTTATTGGTTGATGAATAAAACAGTGTTGGCAATAAGGCAGGAAGATAGGCGGGACTAGGAGACAAGGAGAATTCTGGGAAACATAGGAAGACTGTAGAGCCCAGGAAAAGAGGCTGTGCCAGGTGCTCTCCTGTAAGCCAAGACCATGTGGAAATACACAGATTAATAGAAATGGGTTAATAATTAAGACACAGCTAGCCAATAAGAAGCCACCAGGCAACAGTTTATAATTAATATATTGTCTCTGTGCATTTATTTTGGGCTAAAGTGGGCAAGGTGGGACTTTCATCAACATGCAAGAATTATTAGGAACAAAAGCATTGTATGTTTGAAAATGAAAATGTCATAGTATAACCCATTTCTTTGTATGCTAAGCAAATTTTTAAAAACAAAACAAAACAGGAGTCCTAGTACAAACCTATTAATTTCAGCACTCAGAAGGCAGAAGAAGGACAATCATCCAAGTTCAAGACCAGCCTACTACACATAGTAAGTCCAGCCAACCCGGCTACATAGTTTATGCCCTGCCTCAAAATAAATAAATAAAATAAATATTAAAAATAAAGTTAAAAAAATAGCAAACTAAAGAACTTCAAAGATGGCCAGGCGCTGGTGGTGCATGCCTTTAATCCCAGCACTAGGGAGGCAGAAGCAGGCGGATCTCTGTGAGTTCAAGGTCAACCTGGCCAATAGAATGAGATCCAGGACAGGCTCCAAAGCTACACAGAGAAACCCTGTCTCAAACAAAACAAAACAAAACAAAACAAAACAAAACAAAAAACCTTCAAAGATCGCAACAAACCTGACTCTTTGATAGATTCAGTCTTCAGTAATTGTTTCTTCTTTCCTGATTGCATTAGCATTTCTTCCTCTTTTTCCTTAGAATTTTTGAGAACTGAGACATTTTCAAAATAACCTGAGTTGAGCAGCTTAGACAGCAGATCTTTCACATGTTTGTCTAAGAAAGAGTGATGAAGACTTAGCATACAACCTAAGAGTTCATTGACAATTATGGAGAATAAGAATCTCAATGTTATCCTGCTTATAGTTAACCATCACAAGAGTGGATGGGGGCAGGAGGACACTTGGAATTGTCTGTGCCAGGAAAATAAAAGAGTGATTTATCTTTACACTTCATGTTGAGCAAATACAAACAGTAAACATGAGACTATATATTTAACAAATTACTTGAGTTTCTCGGGTTCTCTATTTTTACCATTTGAAAAATGACTAAAAATCAAAGAAAGAACCTAATCAAAGAGTATGACAAGGCACAAATTCCCTGAGCTGAGACATTTTTTCCATATGCTTCCAAGATATTCAACTAGCCACTGCTCTATGTTGACCTATTAGTTAAGGATATATAGAAATAAAAGGTAATTCATCCATCATATCCAATAGGAAATCTTATCTCAGACACTCCTGGTTTTGTTGTCCTTGTTCTTTTTGGTTGGCTATGTGGAAACCAAGTCTCAATAACTATTAGCCCAGGCAGTCTAAAAACTGGTTATTCTCCTGCCTTAGCCATCCCACATCTCCTAGGGGCTGGGATTACAGGCTTGAGCCACAAGAACTGGCTTAATATTTTTAAATTGTAAAACTCCTTCAGTAAGATTTCACTCATGTCACTTCTAACAAACTAGCACTAGAAAGTTTTTTTTAATTATAAAAGTAATGTCAAAGTTGCATATATTTTATTTTACATGTCCAATAAAACCCAATTCCAAACCAGGCAGAACATCCATAGTATGTGCCTATTATTCATTGCGTATTATAACATTGATTTGTTCTCTCTTTTTTGTTTTTTTGTTTTTGTTTTTGTTTTTCTAGACAGGGTTTCTCTGTGGTCCTGGCTGTCCTGGAACTTACTCTGTAGACCAGGTTGGCCACAAACTCAGAGATCTGAGCCCTCCTGAGGGCTGAGATTAAATGTATGCTTCACCATCACCTGGCCTGATTCTCTTTTTAATCAGCCTTGGTTTTTTGTTTTGTTTTGTTTTAAACATCTTACTTTGTAGCCCAAGCTAGCCTCAAACTCATAGCAATTCTCCTGCCTCAGCCTCCTGAATTCTAGGACTACAGGTATGTACCACCACAGCTATATTTTAGTCATCTTTGAGTTATTACTTATAAACAAAATTTTTCACCTACTTCACATTCATAGCTTTAACAGCTACAAAAACACGCTACCACCAACAGAACCACAATTTTAAAGCATTTTTAGCATCCACCAAATCCCTCAAGGACCTTCTGAATTGGTCCCCTTCCCTAGCAACTTAGTGACCTTTTCTAGAATTCTATATAAATGAAGTCATACAATATATATATTCATGTCTTGTCTGGCTTCTTTTACTAAGTATAATTACTTTGAGATTCATCTATGCTCTTGCATGTATTAATGTTTTTTGTTGTTTTTGCTGTTTGTTTTGGGATTTTGGTTTTTGTTTGTTCTGTAATAAGCTCTCACTATGTAGCTCTAGCTGGCTTAGAACTGTGTAGATCAGTCCGACCTCAAACTGGTAATGATCCTCCTGTGTGTGTCTCCTAAGAAAAAAATTACAGGCATGAGACACCAGACCCAGAGGTTACTTAATTGCTAAAAATCTACTCAATGAAAATATCCTATTTTGTATATCAATTTACTGCTGTGCATTTACACTGACTCTAACAGAGAACTACTATGAACAGAGTATAAGCATTGTACTTAAGTGAGAACTTGTTTTCATTTCTGTTCGGTTCTGGACATGTAACTATTTGGCTATATGGTAAGTATATATAGTATACTTAGTATATATAGTATAGTAAGTATATAAAATAAAAGAGGAAGTGCCAAACTCTTTTCCAAACCATTTTTTCCTTTGTCTTTTTTGTTTTCTTCAAGACAGGGTTTGCCACGATGTTCAGGCTGGCCTTGAATTCTTGTGCTCAAACTACCTTCTGACTAACTGGGACCAGAGTACATTCTACCATGCCTGGATCAAAAATATAAATTTTCACTTATAATTTAAGTCTTAAACAGAGTTATAAACCTTGATAGTTACACATAAATGGGCTTACTTTTCTGAAGGTATATGTACTTGTGTGTGGTTGCACGTGCACATGCCTAGGGAGGCTATTGGTCAGTATTAGGAGTCTTCTTCAAGCATTTTCTTTCTCTCTCTCTCTCTCTCTCTCTCTCTCTCTCTCTCTCTCTCTCTCCCTCTCTCTCTTCTTCCCTCCCTCCCTCCTTCAATCTGGAGTTTGCTGATTCAGCTAGACTAGCCAGCAACAAGCCCCAGGGATTCTCCTTTCTTCATCTCCTCAGTGATGGGATTTCAGCCATTGCATGCTGAAATGTTTGTTGTTGTTGTTGTTGTTTTGTTTTTTTTTAACACAGGTAAGGGGATAAAACTCAGGTTTCATGATTACATAGCACTTTACTAAGCCATACCCCAGGCCCTAGACTTGGATATTTTCTTTACGTTTTTCTTTTTTGTTTTTGTTTTTTTCAAGATAGGGTTTCTCTGTGTAGCTTTGGAGCCTATCCTGACACTCGCTCTGTACACCAGGATGGCCTCAAACTCAAAGAGATCTGCTGCCTCTGCCTCCCAAGTGCTGGGATTAAAGGTGTGCACCACCAACACCCAGCAGATATTTTCTAAAGAGGAAGAAATTAACTATTATGAAAATATTTATTACTTTATAGGGAGTTTTCAAGATCCTAAGCTGTGTACTTTATATTTCATGTCTGGCAATTTGAATGTGGTCATCTGACCGTCCAACAGACTAGGCAAACCATTTGTCATTTCTTAGAATGACCTACTAAATAAGCCTTATATTAACAAGGTAGGGATTTAAAGTTCTCAACTAGAACATGTACCACTATTCAGAATAGGAAACTGAACTCCAAAATGATTAAGCTAGTATTAAACCAGAACTAGTACTTAGCTTTTGTTTCCAAATCATATTGGTTGTCACTTGAAATCTGTTAGTTCCCTTTCAGTAAATAGGAATATACGATAGCTCCTTTTAACATAAATAAAGGGACCATTCTTCCAATGAATACACCATTGTCAGACATATCAATTCTGGTGGACCAATACAGTTTAGACCCTCAATATCATACTAAACCTTTAGGCAAAAAGTTTACTATTTACTACCTAAGTCCAGAGTAGGGAAAACTCACATGTCGTTCCTACCACTGCTTTCTCACTACCTTCCAAAAGGTTCCAAAAGTACAAGGATGACTGCTCCATCTGGTCTTCAACACTGACAAGGAAAAGCAGCAGCAGAACAGAGTGGCTTTAGACATACGCATACACATGAAGAGCAGTACAATGTACATATAAAATATAACCCATCAACAGTCAAGATATGTAAATATGCTAATTTTACCCTTTTATTATTTGGAAGCAAAATACTGAATTTTCTACATACTTATCAAAACTAAATGTCTTCCTTAAAATGAATAAAAAAGATTTTACCAATGCAACTACCAAGGGATAGACCAAGAATTCAAGCTGCCAGTGCAGTATCATTAGTTATCAAATGTGCCTCAGGAATAAAAGTGAAATGGAAACACTCAAAGCTCCATTTGACTTTACTTTGTAGAGAGTGGCTTACTTTTTCTTTAAAAAAAAAAAAAGATTTACTTATTTATTATATATACAGTGCTCTGCCTGCATGTATACCTGCAGTCCAGAAGAGGGCACCAGACTAAATTACAGATGGTTGGGAGCCACCATGTGGTTGCTGGGAATTGAACTCAGGACCTCTGGAAGAACGGGCAGTGCTCTTAACCCCTGAGCCATCTCTCCAGCCTGAGAGTGGCTTACTTTTCAACATGAGAAAGCCCCATTCCCTGAACCAACTCCAGTGGGAAGGCAGCAACCAACAAACAACAGATAGAGACAATGAACAGAACACCAGCAAGGAGTAAGGCATGCAGCTTCCAGAGTAAGCTGAGTTGTATGGAGCTTCTTCCCTACACCAAGCTGATCTTTAGTAACAGCTGAACTCTTCTAAGCTCTGCTTTCACAGCTAACAAAGAGCTGGACCAATCCATGTTTAACAAAGAAAAAGCATAAACATCTGTCTGTTAGCTGATATATCCAATACAAAAAATAGTAGCTAACTGGGGAAGGAAATATTAGGTAGCCTCAATTTTACAGTTTTAAATCATCAGTTCATTTATAACTAGTATCACAGTGAATATCTGCATAGGGTGAAGACAATGATCAAGCTGTTTTGTTTTGCTTGAGAGACGGTCTCACCACACCTGACCAAACATTATTTTCAAAATCAGCGCTATACTACAGACAGGGTTAATGAAAACATTCAAACTTTTCTGAATTCCTGAATGATCTATCAAACATATCTAAGTTTCCCATATTGAATAAAATTAAGATTTTTCTTAGTTAATCCCTAACTACCTATAACAGAAAAGCTAAAAGTGCGACAAGTTCTATATCAGGAAAATCACTTCACTGACTTACCTCAGCTTTTCATTTCTTTCAGGGCAGGTCAGTTTTGAGAATTTAATGAGGTAGTCAAGTTCTTTGGAAGGCAAATACATTGCACCATTCAAGCCCCCTTTTAAGTCTTTTTGTACATGTTCTTGTGTCAAATTCTGTAATACATACTGAACTTGAAGTATAGTTCGAAGTTTTTTCTTCTCAGCCTCAAGTTTTAGCATGTGCTCCCTTCTCTGGGCCTTTTTCTGAGCTTTCAGTAGCTGTTAAAACAAATGCAGGTTCACATATCTCAATTACCCATGTTAGCTGGGATTAGATGGTAAGTTTTTTTTCTTGGTTTTTCGAGACAAGGTTTCTCTGTGGCTTTGGAGCCTGTCCTGGCACTGGCTCTGTAGACCAGGCTGGCCTCCAACTCACAAAGATCCCCCTGCCTCTGCCTCCCAAGTGCTGGGATTTAAGGCGCACAAAACCAACACCCAGCCTAGATGATACACTTTGCAACTGAAAAACTGAACAGAGGCTGGGGGTGGTGGTGCACAACTTTTGCCGCACTTGGGAGGCATAGTCAGATCACTGTGAGTTTGAGACCAGCCTGCTCTACAAATAACCAAAAAAAAAAGAAAAAAAAAAAGAAAGAAAGAAAGAAAGGAAGGAAGGAAGGAAGGAAGAAAGGAAAAAAATTCAAAAAAAAAAAGTCAAAATCTTAAATTGAGTACCAATGTGAAAATACAAATGTAAAGAAAATTCCACATCTAACTCCATGTGATGGGTCACAGTCAAAAATGTAGGCACACTGTGTAGTGAGATATCCACCCAGCCCACACCTATAGCCAAATGGGTGTGGTCACAGGTGAGGACAAGATGGTGGAGAGGACTGACTAGATCTGGGGCCCTGGAGATCACCCAGATCTCTCTTACTTCCGATTGAGTCACAGGGAACAGCCTGGGAGGATCCTTGGAGCTGGAACCCGAGATGGTCACCAGCCTCTTGTGTAAGCACAATCTCTCTGAATAAACTTCACTTAACCTGTACTGAGTCCAGTGAATCTTGATACCCATGCAGTAACACTGAGTTAAGGAGATGGCTCAGAGGTTAAAGGCAGTTGCTTCCAAGCCCCACTACCTGAGTTCAATCTTAGACTCCATATAATAGAAGCACAAGTGGCCCTCTGATCTTCACATGTGTGCTGTGGCATTTACACACCACCACCACACAACATACACATGCAAAATAAATATAAAATTAAATATAGAAGCATACTAAAAGTAGTATATAAAATTACCCTTAGGCTATGTTAAATGTAAGTGAATTTCATATCTAGAATTAAGTCTCATCCCTAAGATAGTCCCTTTTATGTGTATAATTAATTATTCCAAAAACCAAACATTTCTAACCACAGGGATCTGGAACAAAAAACTCAACCTTTTCTTAAAAATACCCACAGAAAATGTGTCCCCCACTTCCATCATTAAAGTTTTTAATTGAATGAGGAATGAGGGTTCTTGTTTTCAATTTTTTTTTTTTTGGGGGGGGGTTTTGAGACAGGGTTTCTCTGTGTAGCTTTGGAGCCTATCCTGGCACTCGCTCTGTAGACCAGGCTGGCCTCAAACTCACAGAGATCCGCCTGCCTCTGCCTCCCAAGTGCTGGGATTAAAGGTGTGCACCACCAACGCTCAGCTTCAATTTCTATTTTTTGAAAATTCCATTAATGTATAATATAACATGAACCTTAGTCATACCCATTCCCTCTAGCTCACCCCATCCACCCACCCACCCACAACATACCAACCTTTTTTTAACCTTTTTTTGAGACAGAGTTTCTCTGTGGAGCCCTGGCTGTCCTAGAACTCACTCTGTAGACCAGGCTGGCCTCAAACTCAGAGAT